CCTTTCCATCCCCCCCCTGCCAGTTCCCAAGTAGAAATGCGTTGTGATAAGTGTCTGTAACTTGTTGTGAAGGTTGTGGACAACTGTTTTGACGTTTGAAGTGGAGAAAAATGCTGTCAGAAAAAGGTCGCAGCCCATGCTTGCTTAAATTATGTTTGGATGATTTTCTACTGGCTCGTAGTGTTATTACTGTTGTAGTTATTGTTGGTTGATGGTTGTTCTAAGATTGATCTATTGAGTAGTCCTTTATAGTCCTTTCTATAATGTTGCTTCTTATTGTTTTATTTTTTTCGACCGTTGATATTGTTGACGACATGTTACTTCATTTACTTCCCTTTTCATGGTGATAAGATCATTATTATTTTAATGACTTTAAAAACCCCAACAATCTCATTAACATGTGTATCTTATACTCAGTAACCTATTGGGTGTGGATATTATCCTTTGATATGTTTCAATGTAGACGTCTGTCACTCCAAACACCGTCGCTTGTCCTCAAGGTTTCGTTTCTCGAAAGTCTTTGCTAAATTGAAACAACACTCCCACAGAATAAAGCTTCTCTCAGAGCTGTAGTGCCTCGCTCTCCTCTCCGAGGCCCTCTCCCCGGGACGTAGTAAATTGCTTCAAAATGAGTGTAGCCATCCCCTTTTCCCTGGATTGCCATTTGAAATTGCCCAAATTTAAATCACAGTTTTAAAAGAAATGTAAATCTCTATAAAGTCTTTCATGAACGTGGCTCCTATGAAACAAAGGCAACCCATTTTGTCCTGCAACATTGAAAAGATTGTTTTAAGACTCCAGATAAAAAGAATGTATTTACATTTTGAAAACACCCTCCACAAATCTAGTCTCAGTATTTCCCCTTCACATTTTGCCCCCCCATCTATAGAGCCAGGCAGCCACACCCAGCGGCCAGACCACACCCACCTCCCTCCTCCAGTCCCCCCCGTCGGACCGGCTCCACTCCAGCGCTTCCAACCCCAACCTCCTCCTCTACACCAACGGGACGTCGTCCAACAGCAGCCCGGGGACAAACATTTCAGCTGCCCCGGCCGGCTACGCAGGTGTGGTCAGTGCAATTGGCGGCGGCAATAGCGCCAGGCGACAGCTGAGTGGGGATGGCGCCGTCTTCGCAGCCCATGAGTCCAGGATCCAGGACATCCGTGTGAGGGAGAACTTTGTCAGCAAAGCCGAGCTGGGTGAGAGGAGGGGTTATTTTTTGGGGGTATCATTGTCATCTTCATTGTCATCATCTTCATCATCATTGTCACCACTTCCACCCCCCCC